TCAAAAAAGTACTCCAGAGTGTTGTTCAGCATGGGGGTGAGTAGAAAATGAAGGCTAATCATGTTTTGGGTGTACTATTCCTTTAAAATCACAGGTATTTTTGTTGAAACGAGACATCTAATCTGTCCCTCTTCTCTTCCACTACAGGAAGCCAGCTTGTCTGTCTGGATGCTTTTCAGCGACAACACAGCCGCCCCTCTGACGTACTTTGATCCAAAAGACTACAACCTCAATGCCTCTACGCTGGACGACAAAGTGGCGTCGGTGTCCCAAGAGCCGCAGCAACGTTGGCCTGTGGTGGTCGCAGAGGGGGAGGGATCGGGAGAAATTGTGCGTGTAGAGATGACCATCTGCGAGGCCTGCCAGAAGACCAAACGCAAAAGCGTTATTGCATCTGCTGCAGTTCATGTCAAAGTCCGCTTTGGCCCAGAGGAAGACTCGGAGGAGGAAACCACCACGGAGGGCGAGATTGAGCTGGCGTCTGTCACCAGGAGGACAGTCATTGATCCTAACGTCAGTGGAAGAATTTATGATACCTCTAACGAGCAGCCTGCCAGTGTTCCCGTGGATTACACTAATTTTCCCACCATTAGTAACCAAGAGCAGCCAACTGAGAGTGATGAAGAGGAAGAGGATGACTTTGTGCACTCGCCACGAAACATGACAGACCTTGAGATTGGCATGTATGCTCTGCTTGGTGTGTTCTGCTTAGCTATATTAGTGTTTCTTATCAACTGCATTGTGTTTGTGCTTAAGTACCGCCACAAGCGCATCCCGCCTGAGGGCCAGGCCAACATGGACCATTCCCACCACTGGGTGTTCCTGGGAAATGGCCAGCCGCTCAGGGCCCAGTGCGACCTGTCGCCACAGCAGGTGGAGAGTCCCAGCAATCCTTTGGAGGGGGTACAGACTTGCTGCCATGGGGACCACCACAGTAGTGGCAGTTCCCAAACCAGCGTCCATAGCCAAGTCCACGGAAGGGGTGACGGCAGCTCCGGTGGTTCGACCAAGGATAACGGCGAGGAGGCCAGCTCCCCCACCTCCAAACGCAAGAGGGTCAAGTTTACCACCTTTACAACCCTTCCAACAGAGGAGCTGCCCTACAACTCCATCCCGATCGCAGACGAAGAGGACATTCAGTGGGTGTGCCAGGATATGGGCTTTAAAGACCCAGAAGAACTCCACGATTATATGCGCAGAATAAAAGAAATAGCCTAAGAAAGGAGGTGCGTTGTGAAAGCACTGCTCTCCACTTTCTAAAGAGACAGTTCCTTTCTATTTTTCTCTTTTTTCAAGCAAGAGTGAAAGATAATTTTTCGCAAACTTTGAGGCCAATATGTTGTTCTGGTTAGGGTTTGTTCCATGTAGTTTGCACAGTGCTGTAATCTCATATACCCTCACACAGAAGAGAATGCAAGAAGCCAAAGACTCGACCAGAGGATCTCAATCACAAGAGATGTCTGTGAATCTTGGCTATGGAAACAGGTTTCACTCGGAAGCTGAGCCATGGAGACATAAAAGAGCTGCTCTAGCTCCAGTTTTTCAGGATATGACTTTTACAAATCCCTGATATGGACAGGAGTATATTTAGTGTTGGTGGTTGTGCTTCAGTGGCTCAGCGGGACCCTGCAGTACTGTACCTTCTCCAAACAATGAGGCCTTTGATGAACAAATAACTTGTCAAAGACTCTAATTAAAAACCAGTTTTAAAAATTATTTTGTTTTTTGCCAAAGTAGAAAAATTATTATTTTAATGGCAAAAACCGTTACTGTTGTCTGTGTAGCACATTCATGATTTTTACTCATCTTCATTACTTACATTTTCTACATTTCGTAGGTAGACAAAAGCAGTGCCCTTCTACAACTCCTGACAATTTCAATGCCTTATAAAAATGGTCACGCTTCACATATATCAGTGGAGACACCTTGTTTTCTCACTGTTAAGTTACAGCTTGGTAAAGCATTGAAACACTAAAGCTGTTCTCCGGCCTGAGGAGTCGAGCTTTGCATGAGAAGGTAACCTAAGCCACAATCAGCAATCCTTTTCCCAAATTTGTAAATGTTTATAATGTAATTAAACGATTATTCATACACATTAATAAACTAAATATGTTACTGTGCTATACACGCATGTCATACCAGGCCTACATACATACAGACATTCCTCTTTGTATATAATTCTGTCAAACTAGAGTTGCCTAAAATGTTGCAATTTACTTTTTCAAGGTGGAAAAACAAGAATCTGTTTAAACTCTTGGAAACTTTATAGTCTTGTGGTGGGTTGAAAGCTGCCCCAAATGTATTGCTGTGCCAGATGTAGATTTTTTAAACTCTGGAATCTCATTTGACTGTTCAATATACGGATTTGCTATGCATCCATTCTAACAGATCAATATTTAGAAAATGCAATTTCCATTCTCCAAGCTTTGCAAGACTAGAGCTTCTGAGAAGGAAGGGAATTTAGAATACGCAAACTGAGCTGTGTTTGAATTGTCCAATTGTTCACTTTCAAGTAAGCCTTTCCTAAGGGCCCTATCAGGCTACGTTCACACCGGACGCTAGCCTGACGTAGTCCTACTAAATTCTAGTCAGAATGAGTCTGATGCTGCTCCATAGAGCTGTGATTATGGGGCGTGTTTCGAACGAACCAGGAAAAAAAATGCCTCTGCACTCAATTGGATAGACCTACAACCAATAAGAGCAACGGAGTGCGTGCCTCATGTTAAGCGACCAAGGGAGCCAGCTGATAAATT